AGTAGTAACAAGAAGCTACTAGGAACAAGTGCATAGCTAGTAGTAACTGCGGAGTGTGAATTGGGCTCTAAGTAAAAGCTAAATGCGAAAAGCGCTGCTTTTTCCAGCAAGGCTTGATCAAGCTAGCGGGCAAAACCACACACGTCACCTCAAACCACGTATGGTCGTTTCTCACATCGGAGAGAGGATGTGTTGACGTGTTGGTCTTAACGAATTATGGGTTGGCGCAGCCAACCTATCGTGCATATGATGGCGCTGCCATCATGCTTCTCGTGGCTCTGCCAGAATTCTTCTCCTGGCTCCGCCATGAAGTGGACTGACTTGGCTCCGCCATAGTCTTAGAGCGGATCTTCCGCCTTTCTCGCTGTCCCTTTCGTAGTTGCTTGCGGTGCTCCTCAATCTCGCGTTCTTCCGGCGTTTCCTTGAGACTGATGGTCTTCTTCCGCAAATACTCCTCCCACAGCACGTTCTTCATAGATTTTGTAAGTCCATCAGCGTGCTGTCGATGGGTTGGTACCCAAAACAACTTGTAAATCTGCTGCTCCAAGAGGTCCTTCGCAACAAGCAGATCTAACATAGTTTGTCTTTCCGCCGGAATTTGACCAGTTGCTCCAAGATGATCGAAAAGAGACTTCGCATCTGTCACGATGCCACCTCCAACACGGAGCTTCTCACGCCAGTCGGAGCCAACTTTGAAAACGCCATGAAGCATCATGTCTGCAATCAGGCGGATGTACAAGTGCCTGTCCACCGCCACACTGAGCGAGCATGATTCTGCCGCCATGGAACTTCGAACAACTCTGCTGCTTTTGTTGGTCGTGTAGTCGATTGCTGCAGCTGGCTGTGGTCCATGAATGACATCTTCATTGGACAAAAAGTGAATCGCACCAAGTTGCGATTTGCCATCCTTCTCCTTGCCCAAGCTGGCGTCAAAGTAGGTCACCAAAAACAACTTGCCACGAATCCGAGGGTATGGCAGAACAGATCTGCCTTGGCGGGCTTCTTCTTTGCATTCTTCAAAAAGTTGGAGTGCCGCCTTATAGTCACCCATCGTGGCTTTTGTTGCATACTGCGCCAGCTTGCTCGTCTTGTACAAAA